AACTTTACATAGTGAAAATTCATTCTCATGAATAGTATTCAATCAAAGGCATAATGCAATTTATGAAAATTGACCTGGATCGCTGATTCCGGTCGCCGGTATTTCTAAAACTGAACTTACAAGTGAAAACCGGTTGTTGAATATTTCCTCGGATCAGGAACACTTGAGGGCTGCATTCCGGTTCGCCGTCGAACTGAAAAAACGAATCTCGGGTCGGGTTCCGCTTTAACAATCAAGTGAAGCTGAGCAGTTGATCCTTTGTTAGCTTCTTTCCCAACCGAAATCCACCCATTGTGGAAAACGCAAGCCCTGGATTCAGTTCCCGCCAGATCCAACGGCAACGACACTTTCCCCAACAGACGACCCGAGTTAAGCCCGCAAGTACTCCCACCCCGGCCAGTGTAGATAGCGATTTTGAGGGAAGGCTTGGCGGAAAATATCGACTTCGCCGCGAGTTTGTCGTTGTCGGCTTTGCTGAGGTGGAATGTAACAGCTTGGTTTTGCAACTGGTTCTCGGGGAACTGATTTTCCGGCGGAATGTAGGGAACGACGGCGGTTTGAAGAGGGAAATTCTTAAGCTTAATCTTGACAAAACAAGGCGATGACGAAGGGTGAACCACGGACCGCGCCGACTTAGACGCAACCGGAATCTTCAGAGCTAGATTGCCAACAGTAATTCGCACGAAAGGGCAAGGGTCCATTGCTTTTTCCCTCTTTTGCACTTGCCCTTTCTCTTCAAAAAGAAAACACTCAGAGTAAACCGTTTAAGCTTGAACCGAAGAATGTGGGTACGTTCATGTTTGTTTCGCCATTGTTGTTCTGTTCAGCTTTTCAAAATCTCCGAAATTTTACTCGAGAAGAAGAAAATACAAAACCTATGGGAATTTCGATTAAGGGTTTGGGACTTGGGGGAAAAAGGATTTCAGATTAAATATTTCAAAGGGGTGGATGACAGCTGTGTACAGGGTGGCGTTAATTGCCAGAGGGACAGGGAGCCGAGTCGATCTCACCTAACCAAATGGTCGGCTCCACATATTATGTCATGTGACGAAACTACCCCTTATCTTGTTTCTTTTGACAAAATTACCCTTCTCATGTACTAATCAGATCTCACTTCTATTTTAGGAAACTGTTTTTCTTGGGGGAAAAACTTATTTTCAAAATGTCAGTTTCGGTTGTATAGGTATATAATATATGGAGTTTTTACGAAAATATCACTAGTACACCTAATAATTATATGTCAGACACCTGTCATCCGGCTTTTTGCGGGGTTCTATCAGAGTTGACGTCACGTTAATAAAAGCGCGGATGACCATTCGTGCCTTCGCGAAATTTCTAACACGTACGTAAGGCGTGGATCATTATCATCGTCTTTCCTTTAATACCCCAACCGTCAACCTCCCACATTTATGGGAACACGTCTATCCCCTCCCCTCTTCCCATAAATATAATACCTAAGCACAATCTCCATACCATACTCAAATCTCAAATCCTCTCATTCTTCCAAGTATCAATCTTTCTATTAAGAAGGTAAAATATTTTATTGTATTATAATAAATCAATAATTTATTATTTTATTAAATTTTATTATACTAATTTTTTTTTATTAATTTTTGCAGTTATAAAATGAAAGACGATTTGTTACGTTTAGATGAGAATCATATCTCGAGGCATTTTGTCGATACAGTAACAATTTTAAATTTTGTTGTAATTTTAATTATTGTTAATGTTTTTTTTTTAGTATTAGTTTATATTTTAATTTTTATAATATTTACTAAATTAGGGGAGAGATCGTATATTAGATCCATTCATTCGTAACCTTAAGTTAGATATACCTACTCGTGTATGGCAGTATTTAGTCGATGTTGGATTCAGTTACGTAGCAAAATATGAAGGGCATTATAACCTTGAATCCAACCTTATTTCTACATTGGTTGAGAGGTAGAGACCAGAGACACACATTCCATCTTCCGTGTAGAGAATGCACAATTACGTTGGAGGATGTTTTCATGCATTTGAGGCTAGTGTATCTTGGAGGTGTCCCGCCTAATTTCAACGGTGGTTGAATACCGTTAAATTGGTTAGATACAACTTTCCAACATTTGAGTCGCGACGCCTCCGAGGAGCAGGTTAAAATGTATGAACGTGCTTGCATATTACAACTCATAGGAGGGATCCTGATCCCCGAAAAATCGTGCAACCAAGTTTATTGTATGTGGTTGCGTCACCTCGCAAAATTTCATCATGCTAGCACACTCAGTTGGGGCTCCGTAATTTTGGCATTTATATATAGGGAAATGTGTCGAGCAACTAACTATTGAAAAAAAGCTATCGGTGGATGTCTCATTCTTCTCTAGTCTTAGGCATGGTATCACATGTCATTTTTTATGTCCGGCGGTGAAAAACTCGTTGCTCTTCCCGCTATTATTGAAGTAATTTCAATATTGATTTCATATATAAATAATTTTGTTGAGTATATAAAAAAAATTATTTCATTGAATAGGTGGTCAAATGCAAGAAAAGATCATCGAGATTAACTCTGAACAAGTTAGCTTGAATCCCTTGAAGAGATCGCGAAATCTATGTGATATGAAATAATTCATTGGTTCTAGAGAAGATTGTTACAGACATTCCATTTGATGCAACAATTCTTTTTTTGTAGATCTGTAACTAATATTGGGTGATAGATATGATCGTTTTGTATCCAAGTTTGAGCTTGTCTCCTTAGCATGGCAAAAAGTGATTCTAAACAAAAATGTCGTTTTAACCAAAGCCGTTACTGGTAAATGGCGTGCCCCCTTTAAGGTCGAATTGATAGCCTCAACCAAGTTGGTCGTCATGTGTCTATATCGATATCCACCATCATATGCATTTGTCAACATTTCTTTGTTGATGAGGTTGATGCAATTGTATCCTTCCTCGTTCTTTCCTCGCAAATCTTGAAGCATGGACTCAAATGTTTCAGGTAATAATTCTTAACATGAGCATCAAATATAGAGCTTACGGTTAAATTTCCATAAAAAAATAAAAATGATTGAGAAATAAAAAAAGCAATTTTTTTACATACCCATGCGTATAAGTAATTTTGTTCATCATTCTTCTAAAACTTTCCATGATAGTTAGGATCAATGTGTCGGGTACAGTACCGATGTTGGACATAGGGTGGTTGCCACATTGGACCCAAAGAATCCATTGCTACTTTGATCCCAGCTTCGCAATCTGAAATGACACATATTTTTTCCTTGTGACAATATGTAAGCGTAAGTTTTTTAGGAAAAAAACCCAAGAATCTATATATTTTCTTTCAACAATGGCAAAAGCAATTGGAAGAATGTTGCGATTACTATCTTGGACAACTGCCAATAGTACAACTTGCAGTATTTCACAGCATTAATGCACTATGATTAAGTCCAAAGAAGCCGTTATAATTGGGATCGATCGTGAAACACTTGATCATTGTGGTATGTATAACAAGTTTTAAAGTCGACAATTGTCTCAGGATTCAATCTGCGCAACCAACTTGGTAGTTCATTGTAAGATGCATCCCATTCGCCGTAAATTTTTTTAATGGCATTCTGCTTTGCCTTCCATGCTTTCCTGTATGAGACGATATACGCATACTGCGAATGTATAGCTGAAATCAACAAATAATTTTGATGTTGTGATGTTTGAATTCAAAAGGGAATGTTATTTATAGGGGAGGGTTTAAAAGTCGAGATGCTTGGGTACCAAAAATAGAAGGTGCGGATAATGTTCAGCGCCTTACGTATGTGTCAGAAACCATCCACGCATTTCTTGATGTAGCGCCAGCTCAGACAGAACCAGATAAGGTGTGGATGAAAATCCGCGCCTTTCTTGATGTGGCACCAGCTCAAACAAAACCCCGCGAAGACGCGGTCGCGCCTTGTCAGAAAAGGTGCTAGATCGGTAATATTATGAGAAAGGGTGTCTGACAAGTAATTATTAGGTGTACTAGTGATATTTCAGTAAAAATGTCATAATATATTTGATTATCTTTTTAAAAAATTATAAAGATTTAGATTTTTTAAATAATTTAAAATTAAATTGAAATTTAAAGAGTAATTTTAGAGGTAAAGGGTGTGATGTATTTTTTACATAATTTAGATTTGAATAGTATAATTTATAAGATGTGTGTGAATTTATTTAATTAAATTAAAATTATAAATTTGTTTATTTATCTATTTACAAATTATGATAATAACATTATAAAAGAACACAGAACAAATACTAAATTTTCATTTTTCTCATCACTTTCCCCGTTTATTTCCTTTCAATCGCTATCTTCCATTCCTCTAGTTATTATCCCATCTAAAACCCAAAATATTAAAGAAAAAATAGAAAAGAAATTAACTGGACTCTTAAATTTTTTATCTAATTGAGTTTTATTATTAAAAAATAATTAAATTGATCCATTAATATTAATTATGTTGATCATTATTTTTAATTGACGTAACGGATAATTACTTTAAGTCTATAACAGTGACATGTGTCACCTATATGTAGTGTTTAATTGATTATTTTATTTGAGGTTAATAATATAATAATTTATTTTGTTTAATATTAAGGATTAACTGATTAAAAATTATAGAAATGTCGAAATTATCAATACATATATAATTTGAAAAAAATGATATTATAAAAATGATAAAAATAATTTTAAAAAAAAATATATAAGATCAAGCATTTACAAATATGTTCTTCATAGATAAATTTATGACTTGTGATCTTAGACAAGTTCTTCATAATCATGATATCTTTTTTGCTATCATATGAGGAGTCATATGTGTATAAATGGTACTTCAACTGAGTACGGAGAAATTTATGATAATTTTTTATGTCAGAATGATCATTCAAAAATTTTGGTCTCTATTTAACCCCTAATCCTATGACAACCCCTAATCCTCTCACACGGAATAATGGAAATCAGCCGCCGCCTATCTTTGTGGCTCCAACATCTCCTCTGAAAGGTAGGAACTCTGATGGAAATTTCATTGGGCCTGAAGTCTTGGGCATCTCTGCAGTTGGAAAGACCGGGTTCCCTCTTCCCGGACGAAGATCAACGTGAGACTAAGAAAGTTCGTAATAAGGAGAAAGTTGATCGTATGGAGGAAGATCGTGCGGTTATGGAGGCTCAGTCGAATACAGACACCATTGATACGGCTGCCAGTAAACAGGAAAAATAATCCTATGCTAGCGTGGTAATGGGCAACTAGAAAATGACAGTAGATAAGGTTTCGCTCAAAGCTATGGACGAGGTGGAGGTCCTACATGGGAGTGTATTGTAGACAACGATGGTCTGTATCCGGTGAATCAATTTGTAGACCAAGTTCACGATAGAATTGATTATTGCATGCGGCGTTCAGTGATAGTCTGGCTTCTCGAACGTGCCATTGGCTATAAAACCTTGTTGAATCGTATTGGAGTTCTATGGCAACTGCAAGGACAATATCAATTTATTGATTTAGAGAATGACTATTTTCTAGTAGAGTTCGAGAGCGAACAAGATTATATTCATGTTTTGATGGAAGAGCCGTGGATAATATTCGGGAGCTATCTTACGGTTCAACCATGGAGTTGTACATTCTCCACAGTGAAAAAAATCATTCACAAGTTATTGTCTGGGTGAGATTACCGAGTCTTCCCTATAGTATTATTCTAAAGCGATATTTCGTCGTATTGCTATGGTTATTGGTCAGGTTGTGAAAATTGACTATAGCACAAACTCAGGGGAGAGAGGTCGATTTACTCGCTTGGCAGTATTGATGAATTTAAATAAGCCATTAATCCCATGCCTTAAGATTGATGGCTTCTGGAAAAAAATCGAGTATGAAGGTTTACAACAAATTTGCTTTCAATGTGGAGTGTATGGGCATTCGAAGGAAAATTATGGGTCTGTTAAAGGGAATACAAGACAAGAAGGTTTAGTAAATGAGCCTAGCGCGGTGCTAGACAAATCGTTAAGCAGCGAAGAAACTGGTTTTGGACCATGGATGATAGCTGAAACACGTAAAAGAAGATCGAAGAAAATAGCTGACCAGAACCCTGAAGGAGGTAGAGATAAAACTCGAGGATCTCGCTTTACTATGTTAAATAAGATAAATAATGGGCATGAAGAAAACACTGCAGCAATTTCGGAGGTACCAGATGAAGATAATAATATGAGAAATGGTGAGGTTTACGCTCCTCGGATGGAGTATCAGGCGAAAGGCAAAGATGTAATGGATAGTGTTCCAAAGGAGGTTGGTTCTAGAAGGCGGACAAATAAAAGCAGACAAGATGATGTTGGGGATAGTTGAGCTCTTAAACATATAAGTGTGATAGCAATTGAGGAAGGCGCAACCTCTCAAGTCACGCAAAATCAACAAGTTATAGCTGGTGGGAGTCATTCAGCGATTACCATCTCAAATGATAGTAGGAATAATATCATTAAAAGGAGTAATTATAGTAAGGGTATTCAAAGAGATGTGGGGGACGATAACAAAGGACTCAAAGGGAAGAAGAACAAAGATTTTATCTTCTCCCCGGCAGTGTTAGAGGATTGGCTGAAGATTGCAAAGTACAATACAAAACATGACAAGGTTACGCTGCATAAAGAGGGCTCATCAATTCCACGTGGTAACGAAAAGGAGGAAACATTCCCGCCTATAGTGGAGTCGGTGATTATAGTACCTGAAGAAGACATTCCTCTCGAAAGGGATAATGTTAACCCGAACCTTCCTTAGTAACGAGGCTTCCTCACTTATATATTTTAATGGTTAATTTTCTTTTTTGGAATTGTTAGGGCACTGGAAGCCCTAACTTTAGACGGTATTTACAGGAACACTGTCAGAAGAGTCGACTTGAACTGGTGACATTGTTTGAAACTCGAATTAGTGGTGTTACTACTGATAAAGTCATCCGGACGTTGGGATTTCAGAATTCATTTAGAGTTGAAGAACATGGGTTTAGTGGTGGTATTTGGATTCTTTGTAAAGACGGGTTAAACGTGGAGATTTCAACAATCTCAAACCAGTTTATTCATGGTAGATGCTGGTCGTATAATAAAGATAGATGGATGTTCTTTATTGTTATTTACGCTAGCCCTAAAGTGAAGAAGCAAAAACTTATTTGAAAACACCTTATGAATCTTATGCCAGGTGAGAATGAAGCGTGGATTATGGGGGTGATTTCAACTCCATCCTACGGCTAGATGATAGGGAAGGTGGTTTAAGCCATGGTTCAGGGGTAAGCCAATTATTCGTTGATTTTATCTTTGAGATGGGTTTATTTGAGGTTGATTTTTTAGGGTTAAATTTACGTGGAGAAGAGGTAATCTATATAAATGTTTAGATCGTTGCCTTATGAATGGTTGCTGGTCTAATGTATTCCATGGTACGAAGGTGTTACATCTTGATAGAGTGGGTTCGGACCATTGTCCTCTTTTACTAAAACCTCAGAGTAACATGAGCTTTCAGTAGACTCGGTCATTTCACTTTATTGCAGCATGGCATGACCATCCTCAATTCAATAGCTTTTTATCAGAAGTTTGGAGGAATGATTTGGATACACTAACCAAGGTGAATTCCTTCCAAATTAAAGCTAGTGATTGGAATTTAAAGGTGTTTGGGCATATAGGGAGGAGAAAACGCGAACTATTAGCACGATTACGGGGTATAGATAGAGCGCTTATTACTCGATATTCATAACGTTTGGTGGATTTGCAACACATGCTGAATTATGAACTTGAACAGGTTCTCTAACACGTGGAAAGTTTGTGGTTATAAAAATCGAGAACTCAATGGGTTCTTCATGGTGACAAAAACACTAAATATTTCCACGCTTGTACGATGATGAGGCGTAGGCGTAATCATATGAGGGCTCTTAAGGACTTGAATGGTAACTGGGTGTCTAATCAAGAAACTCTTTGCTCAATGGCAGTTAATTTCTACAATAAATTATTCACTAGTAGTAATGAAGATGGTAATGGGTATCCGTTTCAGGGATGCTTTCATGTTCTCTCTAATTCTGAATTGAACATACGACCGCTATTTATCAAAGAAATCCGTGAAGTCTTATTTAGTATGAGTCCGTTAAAAGCTCCTAGAGTGGATGGACTACATGTTTTTTCTTTCAGCGGAATTAGAATATGGTGAGCTCCAGCGTATGTCAATTGATTCAGCATATTTTTGCAGGAGGAGCTTTCGATAAAGAAATCAATCGAACAATCCTGATACTAATTCCCGAAGTTAAAGTACCAAAATTTTTCAGTCATTTTTAACCAATTAGTTTGAACTTTGTGTTATACAAACTTGTTACGAAGATAATTGTGAACCAGCTGAAATCTTTGATGAAACACTGGATATCAGAAAATCAAACAAGCTTTGTTCCTGAATGGTCGATCATGGATAATATCATTGTAGCGCAAGAGGTAATTCACTCCATGCTATTGAAGAATGGGAAGTTCGGCTTTTTGGCAATCAAAATCAATCTTGAGAAAGCCTATGACCGTCTTAAGTGGTCATTTATTGATGACACATTAAGAGAGTTGCATATTCCAGATAACTTAGGAGACTTATAATGAGATGTGTAACTTCAGTCTCAACGTAGGTACTTTGGAATGGTGCTATATTTGAATCCTTTAAGCCAAATAGGAGGTTACTCCAGGGTGATCCTTTATCACCTTATCTGTTCGTGATGTGCATGAAGATGTTGGCCCATGCAATCTCTATAGTTGTAAAAAAATGGGCAGTGGAAACCGATCAGTCTGTGTTGTAGTGGCCCTGAACTTTCTCATCTATTTTTTGTGGATGACTTGATACTTTTTACTAATGCGTCAATTGAGCAATGTTATGTAATTCGGAGCACTTTGGATCTCTTGTGCAAGTTCTTGGGTCAGAAAATCAACATGCAAAAAACTACTATTTTTTATTCTAAGAATGTAGATTTGGGTTTGAAGAATTCAATTAGCTCTTTATTCAGATTCCAGTAAGTTCAAAACTTGGGGAAGTATCTCGGAGTACCTATTCTTCACTCTCGGATTATGAGATCTTTGTTTAGTTACATAGTTTCGAGAGTTCGAGATAAACTCACAGGATGGAAGACTAAATCTTTATCTTTGGCCGGGTGGATTACATTGGCTAATGCAGTACTATCGACTATCACATTGGTTGGTTTGCAAGCCGATAAGAAAATGTGGTCTTGGCATGAAGAAATTAGTCGATCAAAATGGTGTCTTTCTTATGAAAATAGCATTTAAATTGACAGTCAATTCTGATCAGTTGTGGATTAAAGTGTTGCGATCCAAGTATAAGTAGAGGAATGACTTACCCGAATCAATTGACAGCAAGAGAAGTTCGCATGTTTGGAAATGAATCTCTCATGTGTGGAGTGAGGTGCGGCAGAGTTTGGTTTGGAACATTGGTAACGGGCGTAATGTGGACTTTTGGGGGATTCTTGACTTAGTGATGTGGGGCCTTTAAACACGCTTGTAACTAATCAATTAGAGCGAGATACGCTACCAAGAAGGACAGTGACTTTTATGGTTGATACCAATGGACAATGGTGATGGGATCTAATAATTAATTTAGCACCGAGTAGTATTAAACAATGACTTGCAACAATAATGCCGCCATGACAGGAATGATGCGCTGGGTTGGAAGTGGACCATTGATTGATGTTTTTCGGTTAAACCAGCGTACGACATGAGACATGTAACTCCGGATACTAATCCATATAAAGTTTGGGAAGTGATTTCGAAATATAGAGGGCTGCAACAGATTAAAATTTTCTTGTGGTTAGTAGCTAATGAGCGATTATTAACCAATTAGGAACGAGTCAGATGGCACTTAGCAGCAATCAACTGTTGTGGAGTTTGCGGGCAGTCGGGGGAAACAATATATCAACTTTTTCTAACATGTCATGCGACCAAGGTTGTTTGGACAACGTTAATTAAAACTGAAAAATAAGATGAGTTTTTGTCCAGGGACTGGTTGCATATTAATATCGCTAATTCGAGATTATATGCACGGGATGAATGTGACTGGGACTTACTATTTGGTTCGATACTTTAGATGATTTGGAAGAATCACAATAGGAGAATTTTTTATCCGGATTACATTGAACAGGAGTCTGTATTAGTACAAGGTATGCGTCTTCGTTTCGAAGCTATTCGAGCAATCGAATTATCGTTGCAAGTGAATCCATCTTCTCATCGAAGGCTTAGTGTGCCTTTTCATTGGTCTCCACCTCCTACTAATTGATGCAAGGTTAATACTGATGGATCCCATAAAATAGGAAATGGTTTGGCTACATGTGGGGGCGTTATTCGATCTTCGAACGGTGGATGGATTCTTGGATTCTCTAAAGTACTAGGAATATGCTTTATCGTTGAAGCGGAGTTATGGGGAATACATGAAGGTCTCTCGCATGTGTGGAATCTTGGTGAAAGAAAAATCATGGTTGAAGCGGATAGCTTGGAGGTCATTCGGATGCGCTTAAGGGAAACGCTAATAGAAGATCAATTTTTACGCTGCTTGACCAGGTTAGTGAATTATTAAAACAGGAATGGACGAATATTTTTAGGCAAATACACCGGGATGTGAATAAGGTGGCCGATAATTTAGCAAGGTTAGCTACAACAAGAGGTGATGCTCATACGGTCTTCTACACTCCACCGCTGGAAGTGCTTAATTTGTTACAACAAGATTCACTTGCTTGTAATTTGACAGTAGAACATTAAGTGTTAGCTTACATCTTTATTTCATAAAAAAAAAAAATTGGTCTCTATCTAAATTAAATGAAAAAAATAAAATCAAACTTTCATTAAATAAACCAAACTTACTTGATTTATTTAATGACATGTTGAAAGTAACTCTCGACACATTTTCAATGATGTTAGAATGTCAAGACTAACGGTAACAATGATATCAATTGATTTGTTACGCATCAGTCAATGAGAAATCTTAAGTTTGATACATATAAGATTAAGACAGTGACCAAAGAGTTATTGAAGAAAGATTATTTTTTATATTTTTTTAAAAATTATTTATTGTTATATAAGATTAAGACACTGAGTAAGGAGTTGTTCGTGAAGTTAGATGAAACAATCCATAGACGAGTAATTTTTGGAGATGACTCATAAGTCAAAGTCAAAGGTGAAAGCGAAGTCATGATAGCACAAAAGAATGGAGAAAAGAAATACATCTTAGATATGTATTATAATCAACATCATCAGGATTGGTCAACTCTTGGAAAATGATATAAAGTGGAGATGAAGAATCGCTCTCTTACCATAAAAAATAAAGATGGAGAATCAATTGCCAAAGTTGATGACTCAAAATCGTCTCTTTACAATTGATATTGAGTCAGGAGAAGTCAAGTGCATGAAGACTAGTTGTGGCATCTATGATATAGATATTTTGGATTTTCGGGCCTGAAGCTATTATCGAAGACCAATATGGTGAATGGATTGCCAAAGATAAACCTATAGATCAATTATGTGAGACTTTCATAAAAGGTAAACAACACCGAAAAAGCTTTGAAGTTGACAAATCTTGGTGAGCTTGAAGGCAATTGGTGATTGTGCACATATATATAGTTGGTCTTTTCGACATACCATCGCTTGGAGGTAATAGGTACTACCTAACTTTTATTAATGATTTGAGTAGAAAAAGTTATATCTATATTTTGAAAGAAAAATCAAAAGCATTGAAAATACTCAAATCAGATAGAAGTAGCGAGTATACATCAAATTTATTTAAAGACATCAACAAAAAGCATGGAATCATTCATCAACTGACAATAAGATACATGCCACAATAAAATGGAGTTGTTGAAAGAAAGAAGTGTACAATCCTTTACATGGTGAGGAGCATGATAAAAGGTAAGCACTTACCAGAACTATGTGGCATGAAGCAGTCCGATGTGCATCTTACTTGTTAAACTGATGTCCAACAAAAAGTGTGAAGTATATGATGCCAAATGAAACATGGAGCGGTCAGAAACGAGAAGTTATACACCTCCAGATATTTGGATGCATCACATATTCCCACGTTCCTTAGCAAACAAGAAAAAAACTTGATGATGGAGGATAAAAATGTATTTTCATCTACTATGATGAAGGAAATAAAGCTTACATTGTAACAACCTGAAAATTTTGAAAAAAAAATTTATTAATTAAGTAATTTGGTGACTAAAATAAAATTTATGAAAACTTATAGGCCAATTTAGAAGTAAAGGAAATTGAGGGACCAAGCCCTGAATTTACCCTAAAACTGTCGACAACTTTAGTGTTATAAGCGTGTTTTCTGATTTTAAATCAGAAAACACAAATGATTTTGCTTAAACTTTACTCTCCCGTACACCTTCCTTCAAGCTCAATTCCGACGCCTTCTGAGCTCCAATCGTAAAATTAAAACCACCGTCGTGTTCATCTTCGACCCGTGATCAAAACCCAGTAAACCAATTATAGCGAAACGCTGCCAAACGACGTGAATTTCGAGTCAAAGTCTCGATATTTTTTAGCACCACCGCCGAGAAAATCTTAAATTCATCTCCGATCGTTGATCGGTTTTCGACACCTCCCGCACCATCGTGTTCCTGGTGTAGTTCCGAGTCCGACGGTGTCATCTTTGTCTCCGTAGACGGCGGCACGTGTGGGAGGTGGAGCGATCAAAAAATCGGCCGAGTTGAAATCGAGCTCTCCACCGTTCAAAAATTTGAACCGAGGTTGGTAAGTGACTCAAAATCGCTTAAAATAATTTTTGGAAACTTTTGCTGGAATTTTTGGAGACCGGAGAAGGTCTCACGCGACCCTAC